AACTCTTACTGCAAAATCAGAGTTACTATTGCTTCTAGTTTGCTTGTAATTTAATACAAGAAGTTCAGATTTCTTCCTGTTTATTTCAATATCGTTTAAATCATATAATTCATTTATATTCTAATAATTTCTAGAAGTTCCTTTTTTGACTTTGCAATCCAAGTCGTATCATCTGCATATGCGAGGACACTTTGTCTCTAATTATGTTTTTGAGTTTTGTTATAGTTAAGGTTTACTAGCCAATCTACGCTCATTTCATAGCCAAAATTATTTTTGTTTTGGATCATGTACAGTAATAGGTCGTAAAAAATATACCAGAGCAAAGGAGATACTACTTCACCCTGGTCTAAACTATCCTTTGCTGAGAACCCTTGTATTAATCTATAACTAGTTATGACTTTTATTTCTCTTGTGTGAAAAAGACTTAGCAGAAATTTAGTTGTGCTAGCTAGGATTTTAATTCTTTTTAGTACTTTTTCAAGCATAATGAGAAAGCTGTTATTTATATAGTTTTTTTATTTTCTTAAATTAAAAAATATTTTTATTTAATATTTGTAAAAAAATTAAACTACTAATTATTAATAAAAATTATACAAATTTAAATCATTAACTTTTTTTTTTTAATTTTATTAAAAAAAAAATAATAAAAATAAAAATTTTATAAAAAAAAATTTATAAATATAAAAAAAAATACAAATATAAAAAAATTATTCATTATGAACTAAATTGTTATACTTAGTATTTAACTTATAATATTTATCCTTATAATCTTCTAATTCATTATGTAGATTTTTAAATTTTCATATAACAATAGATTAGATTTCCAATTTTTGATTAATAAATTTAACCTTTCAATATCAGTTTCATTTTGATTATTCAAATTATTTGGTTTTGTTTTTTCTATAATCTCATTTAAACTTGATTTAGGTTTAACTTTAGCTTTTGTTTCATTAATTTTTTTACGAACTTGAAGTAAAGAGCTTTGAAGATTATTGTTTTGTTCAATAATATTATCGATATCATTAATAATGTTTAACATGTTTTCTATTAACTTATAAAAAAAAAAAGAAAAAAAAATAGTTAGTAACTGATATTTTAAAACAAATAAATTAAAAAAAAACAAAATAAAAAATCATAAGTCTATAGCAAAAAAGAAGCTAGCAAGAAAAAAAACCAGTAAAAACTAATTGAGAACTAAATGATAATAAGAAGTTAGAAAGATTTTTAAAGAGAGACTTAATAATATTATCATCAAAGTAGTTAGAGTTAGGGCTAAAGACTAAACTAGCATTTTGTTTAATCATATTTTAAAAATTTTCAAATATAAAAAAAAGAAAATATTAACCTTCATAAAAAAAGTTTTTCATTATTGAGAGAAAAAAAAGATTATCTTTTTTGTTATTTATAATCTATATACACATAAACAAATTTGATTTTTATACAGATAACAATAATAATAAATAATACAAATTTGTAACAAAGAAAATCTTTATTTATAATTATTACATATATATGATATGTGATTAAAAAATTTATTAATTTATAATATATAATTGATATCATATGATAAAATAATATCAATAACAAATAATATAAATAAAAATATATAATATTTAATAAAATAATTATTATAATTTTCTAAATAAGTTTTTTAAATATTTGTATTCTGAATTGTTTTTTTTTTTCTATTAAACTAATTCATTTTCTTCTTGTAAGTCTTTATTAGTTATAATATCTTGTTGCTTGATATTATTTTCTTTTAATTCTTTATAATTTCTTTGAATTCTTTCTTGTTCAATATCAGCTTTTAAATTTTCAGTATCTAAATTATCAACTACTTTAAATTTTTCTTTCTTTTTTTTCTTAGTATAATTTGAATCATTTGATTTTAAAGAACTTAAAGATGAATCTGATTCATTTTTTTTTCTTTTATCTATTTTGATATTTGTTGATATTTTTGTTTTTTCTTTATCATGAAAACTTTTACGATTAATTATAATTTCTTTATATTCTACAGA